TGGCACTTATCCTGGTCAAATCCATTGACTTTCGTTATCTTCCAGCTCCGACTTTTGTATCAGGGTGGTTCACTTATAAACTAATGTGATACTTTGATAACCTTGTCCTGGTGCACCAGGGTCATACAAGGGATTGATACAATACAAGGGATTGATACAATAGTTTCCAATGAGAAAAATAGCATCCGTGAGTAGAAGCAGGTGCAGGTGTTGCCACAGACAATGAAGGCAGGATTTTCCTGTATGTGTTTATTGGTTGATTTATTGAGAGCCCAACAAAGTTTCTAGGGTCTGCTGAAGTGATGTCTGACCTGTAGAAGCAACAACAGAAAGGAGTACAAACAGCGAAAACAGATAATATATTCAAGTCCTGTTTCATAAACAGGGGAACCGTGACATAAAGAATATAGACGTTTCGTTATGAACCAGTTTAAAAACCCAATCGGAACGTTGTTAAATGATATCCCCGCGTAAAGTAATTCTGTGTTACGAATCAACGAATACAGGGAACTAATTGTTTCGAATCCGAAGTGATTCACACAACTCACAGGTTACATCCTGCTGTACCCTCACAGATCACTGTACCCTTACAGATCACTGTACCCTCACAGATCACTGTATCCTCACACAACACTGTAACCTCACAGATCACAGTACCCTCGCAGATAACTGTACTCTCGCAGATAACTGTACCCTCACAGATCACTGTATCTTTACAGATCTTTGTACCATCACAGATCACTGTACTCTCGCAGATCACTGTGCCCTCACAGATCACTGTATCCTTACAGATCTGTGTACCCTCACAGATCACTGTACCCTCACATATCCCTGTACCCTCACAGATCGCTGTACTCTCGCAGATCACTGTACCCTCACAGATCACTGTACCCCCGCTAATCACTGTACTCTCGCAGATCCCTGTACCCTCACAGATCGCTGTCCCCTCACAGATCACTGTACCCTCACATATCACTGTACCCTTACAGATCACTGTACCCTCGCTGATCTATGTACCCTCACAGATCACTGTACCCTCACATATCACTGTACCCTCACAGATCACTGTAACCTCACAGATCACTGTAACTTCACAGATCACTGTACCCTCACATAACACGGTACCCTCACAGATCACTGTACCTTCACATAACACGGTACCCTCACAGATCACTGTAACCTCACAGATCACTGTACCCTCACAGATCACTGTACCCTCACAGATCACTGTACCTTCACATAACACTGTACCCTCACATATCACTGTACCCACACAGATCGCTGTACCCTCACAGATCACCCCTCACAGAACACTGTACCCTCACAGATCACTGTACCCTCACAGATCACTGTACCCCTCACATAACACTCCTCACAGATCACTGTACCCTCACAGATCACTGTACCCTCACAGATCACTGTACCCTCACAGATCACTGTACCCTCACAGATCACTGTACCAGATCTCCCTCACAGATCACTGTACCCTCACAGATCACTGTACCCTCACAGATCACTGTACCCTCACAGATCACTGTACCCTCACAGATCACTGTACCCTCACAGATCACTGTACCTTCACAGATCACTGTACCCTCACAGATCACTGTACCCTCGCTGAACACTGTACCCTCACAGATCACTGTACCCTCGCAGATCAATGTACCCTCACAGATCACTGTACCCTCGCAGATCAATGTACCCTTACAGATCACTGTACCCTCGCAGATCACTGTACCCTCACAGATCACTGTAACTTCACAGATCACTGTACCCTCACAGATCACTGTACCCTCACAGATCACTGTACCTTCACATAACACATCACTGTACCCTCACAGATCACTGTACCCTCTACAGATCACTGTACCCTCACAGATCACTGTACCCTCACAGATCACTGTACCCTCACAGATCAATGTACCCTCACAGATCACTGTACCCTCACAAATAACTAGCATTTGTTTGAGTTCACCCTGCACTTATATTTATCTTCATAGACTGAATGGTACATCACGCCATTTTCAATATGCTTACAAATGGTCCAACAATAGTCACGTTTACAGCGGTATATCTGAATTGTGTTGATGATATAAGCGTATTTGAGTAGAATACAATGACACCGGGAAGAGACATAGGCTTTTCTCTTCTGCCAGTCGATCATATATGATTCATATATATAGCACTGTGAACCCACCAGCCATGTCTCCAGCTGCAGCAGCGAGTGCCTTCAAGGCCGCCTGCCCGTCCTTTACCAACTCGGAGGCGCTGTCCTTCAGAGCCTGGATATGCTCACCAAGGCTTGTGCTCAGTTGGTCAAGGGTTGGTTTGATAGATCCATACAGCGCAGAGGCAGCGGCGGAGAGGGTGGATCCTAGATTGGCCACGTGCTACATACAGTTGTCTAACTATAGTTCATGATATATGTAGAAATAGTTCATGGACATTCTGTCACTGATTATGTTTCCAAAGTTGAATATTTTTGTTCGGATCAACGTAAATTCACATTTACGTACATATCTATGGTATCGTTAAAATTATATATTAATTGTAAGAGACGATATATTTAGTTCATTTAGATCGGTTGCATTCACAGGGTTCTATGAATTACTGTCCGTACCTCTTTGACAGCCTGAATGACAGGCAGGAAGAGGGAGGCGAACTTCTGTCCAATTGAAGCCAGCGTGTCTGCGAGAGCAGATCTCTTGCGGCCAAGTTTGCTGATAAGACCCTTAGCGGCATTGATGAGGAACTGTCCTGGGTTCTTTGTAAGGGTCTCCACAAGTGAGTCCTGGAAGATGTTGTGGAGACCTGAACAACATAAACAAAATTACTCGAATCAAGTACTTACTTTTCAGATACAGTAAAATGAAGATACGGCTCATTAGTATGATGCGAGTGTTTCCAAGAACACTGACTTAGTTGTAAACCAACTGTACCCGTTGGACGCAGGAGGGACTGTGTGCATGTTGTTATTAGTATATCCTGGAACGAGCTGGGTTACAATGATACACGCGCTAACGTTTTTTCTCAACGATTAGGGGTCAACGGAATATCCACTCACAAATGCCTCCCTGAAAGTCGTGTGTAGGGATCACAACCGCCAATAGGACTAGGAGCAGGGGGGGGATAGTTACTCACCATACAGCAAGCTATTGGTTAGAAGGATAGATAAAGACTATAAGTAACATGAATGACCACTTATCAACCTCTCTCTGAAAAACAAGAACTCACCAACTACATCGGCAATGTCGGTGAGGATCGTGGACAGGTCATCCTTGAGGAAGTCCATGCTGGTGATCCTCTGGGCGATGCCAGTGAGGGCTGTCATGGCGGAGTGGTACAGGGAGCCAAGGGTCTCCGACAGCTGTCCAATCACCTGTTTCCCTTCCTGGAGGAACTTGCTGATACCACCAGCGACGCTGTTGAGCACGGGGACATTGAAATATCGGGGAGAAGGAAATACTGGATATATATCTTATAGTGAAACTGTGATCAGTCAAGTTAGTGCATACGAGATAGAAAATTATCGTTATCGAAGGGAATTAAGCATACACCATGTATACAGTCAATATAAGATATGCAGTGTTGAGAGACTTAATTATTGGTGCATGTGATTACTGATATTTCATGACAGTACCTCACTTCCCTTTTGCCGACATTAGCGAGCGAGCCTAGGAGACCTGTGAACGAGAACAACCAGAACACAACTGTACATGTTTAGTCCTGACAGTGTATGTATACAGCAGATATTAAACCTATATTATCAATATCGCTTCCAACATCCGATTGGTATGAAGATGTTGACGTGTCGAAGTATGCATCGTTGTAAGAGACCTCGTCATCATCTATTATAACATTTGTCAAGGGCACGAAGTTGACAGATTCTATGACAGTCGATTTCACATCAGATAAGATGACTTTCACAAAGTATCAAACATCATGTCTTAGCATCATAGGGATCCATGGTATTCCTGAACAACAATTTACGCGTACCAGTGAGTATGTGAGTGAGTGAGTATGGTTTTACGCCGACTTCAGCAATAGTCCAACAATACCACGACGCGGGACACCAGAAATGGGCTTCAAACATTGTACACAAGTGGGGAATCGAACCCGGGGTTTCAGCTTGGCAAGCAGACGCTTTAACAATTAGGCATTTCCACAACCCCGTTCCAGTGAAAACACGTTTGTATGGTTAGACGTTTTTACATGTTTTACGGACATATAACATGGATGATAGTTTTAGTTAAAAGGTAAGTCACTTCGGTACTGGGAACAAGGAGACGCTATGCTTAACGGTGTATGATTTGTTACATTTCCTTCTGGCAGGTCTAAAGCACACACAATTGAATCGGGGCTGGCCAAAGACGAAAGTATAAACATCGTCATCTTTCTCTGATACTGCCAACCACTCAGTGACCGGTGAAACTGGGTATTTATAACACAGAAAGGACTTACTCTGAGCTCCAGTGGCTAGCAGCTGTGTACCCGCAGTCTTCAGGCTTTCCACTAAGGCGTTGGTAACGTTTGCTAGTGGAGTCTTCAGATCGTTGAAGAGGTTTTTGAAGAGGTCACCGATGCTAGTCCCAAGACCCTTGAGGGTGTCAAGAAAGCCAGCTCCATTGGCTCCAGACAGCAGACAGGCAACAGCAACGAAGACGAGGACCTTCATGGTGAATCTAGAGTACAATGTGAACATCGGCAAAAGTTTCTTATGATGGCTGGAAGTTCTCTATATGCAGTGAAGGAGACATCCACATGTATACATGCTACTGTTGTAAAATTAAATCAGCTTAAGAAGCATGAACAATTAGCATAAACAGCTTTATAGTTGTATTGCTCCAAAACATAGTTCTTACGAGTATTAAAAACCATGAATCGTAAACTGACGTGGGACAGCTCAGCTAATTATTAATGTGCATCCAGGATTTCTTGAGCTCCACGCCTATACCACACACATCGATCCTTATGAACAATTGCAAACCTCACCTGAGATGAGACTGATGAGCAGTGGACAAAAACAGTATCAGCTTCATATATATAGCCAGGACAATATGGTAGTTCCCATGCGCAACAGCACACTGCACATTTGGTATCGTTTTTATTTAACCTGGAAAACGCTCCTTGTTTCTCTTATCAAAGGCGTATGACGCAGTCATACTGTACATATCCAACAGAGACTGAGAAGCAACCAGGTACTCTCTTCCACAATTTGTGTAACAAGTTTGACGACCCAATTCGAACACGAAGGAATTCCTCATCTCACATTATTGCATGGGACGGACATGTGATTTCGTGTAATATTTGTTGGAAGTCCATAAGTGTCCGACCTGACCTGAACAAGAGAAAATATAGTGAAAATATAGCAGAACTGAACCTTAACCATTCGGGAAAATGTTAGAACTCGCATGCATACATATGTTTTCTTGGGAATTCTGGACATAGGGTTGTTGAAACTGTTACTGGTTTATGTCATTAACATGAACTTGGTAGTCCTCGCATGCATACACATGTGTCTTGGGAATTATAGACATTAAGATGATAAAGATCTGTTTAGCCCCTGTGCTCACCAATCAAGACTTAATGGTTTATTGCAAGATTAAATTTCATTTGAGACGTCCTAGCAGTAATTATTAGATGTTCTAGCAGTAATTATTACATATACACATATGTAACGTAAGCTGAACCTGACAAAGGACACAGACTGGTTAGACTTATTATTACCTGTAGTGGGTATCACTACCTCTGAAGTTGACACCTTGGGAAAACAAGCAGTTATGATTTCTTGGCGTTTAAGCAGCATTTCGACAGTGATCCGGTCCATATAATATGTCGACAATGTTGCAGTTGTCTGTATCTAATCGTGTATTTGTGATAAGACTAACCCAAAGCTTACAGTAAATGTCAGTGTTACTCTTTGACTCTCTCTGTTCGTCCGACTATTCCTTCATGGTGTTGCCGTTATAATAGCATGGTGTAGTCATTACAATGACTTGAAGGAATAATATTTGGTTGATTTTCAAAAGCAGTCGACAGTAACGGAATCGCTACTTTAGGCTGATGAATGTATTCGCCTATATTCGAGTTGGAGGCGTGTCGTGAATGCAATGTAGCTCACCTGTATGTCTAGTCAGTTTTTTACCTTGCCAACAAAGTATTCTCTTTAAAAGATATATACCGACCGCTGATCTCTGACTGACTAATGTCCACAATACGCCTTCTCGAGCAATGAGGCCATATCGTAAATAAGTATTGAACCTCTTAAGAATATTCAGGTGTCACTATTTTCGGTCTTTTCCCGACACGTGTATTATAGCAGCGAACGACTACAGCACACAAACAGGCACGTCCATAACGTCACTTGAACTGTAATCATAGTGAGCTAAAAAGCGACAGGTTTTGTTTGAGGCCAGATATGGTCAACGTAGGCCTAGCAGTATGGGCAAGTTCGTACGCATCCAAAAAATTTAAGGACCACCCAAATTTTCAGTATTAAAGTCCTTAATAGTTCATATTATGATCTATATCATAATTAAATATGAAATATGAGATGTTCCTTAACTTTTTTGGTTGAGTATTAGGGTTTCAACGAGTCAATTTTCTTGGAATCAAGTACTCGAGGGGTCTAACTCGACTCGGAGCCGAGTTTTCGAAATTCATACCTTTCAAGCAAACGATAGCGTAACTGGCATGGCATTACACAATACGATGTTTGTGTTATCAATGTTGAAGTTGGTTACTTAGTAATACACATATACTATCAAAAAAAACGTAGGGGATATCGGACTTTGATGGCTGATGAGGGGCAAACAGTGAAGACGAGAACGGAACAAATAATGAAGAACTGTTAAGGGACCATATGGAATTTTATTCAATACATTTGATAATGCCAAAGAAACAAGGACATTCTGTGGTATGGGTCAAACTACACCAAGGGTCAAGCTGCAAATTTACCATACGGTAAAAACCAAGTCAATAATGGGTAAATCCCCATCTGTTGGCCAAACAGGCACGGATCCGACGTGGCATACTCCTTATGAGGCGTCGCAAGTCATTTTGATTGAGAATATTCCAATCTTCTTGCAATGCAGCAGCAAGTTCTTGGATAGTAGTGGGTCGTTGTTGACGTCGTCGTAAGCGCTGTCCAAGCATGTCTCAGACATGCTCGATGGGCGAAAGGTCTGGACTTAAGATGACCATGGTAATCTGGTGATATTCTGCAGTTGGAGGTATTCAGTGACAATCTTGGCCCTGTGACATCTGGCGTTATCATCTTGGAAAATGAAACGGCGGCCATGGCGTCGAGCATATGGCACAACACGGGCTGCCAGGATGTTGTCCCGGTAGTACTGACCTGTGACACGTCCAGCAACAACATGTTAGTCCGTTCTTCCAGCCGCAGGGATGCCACCCGACACCATTACAGACCACCCTCCAAAACGATCATGCCTAATGACGTTGACATCGTGGAAACGTTCATTACGTCTACGCCAAACCGTGTTACGTCTAGCAACGAAGTCTAACACGAATCTGGACTCATCAGAGAACATTACATTGTTCCAACGTCGATAATTCCAGCGTTGGCGTTCTAAACACCAAAGACGTCTTGCCCTAATGTGACCATCTCTCAAACAGGGGATGACACGAGGACGCCGTGCGTTTAATTGACCACTGTGCAGTCGATTTCTGATGGTCTGGTTAGTCACTCTAACACCAGCACCTGCGTGCAGTCGATCTCTAATCTGATTGGCTCTTATGAGACGATTTCTTAAGGCTGTAGTACGGATAAATCGATTCTGAGCCGCAGTTGTCGCCTGTGGTCTACCTGAGCGTTGTCTGTCGTTGACAGATTATGTGTCACGGTATCTGGACCATAATCTACTGATGACGGACTGTGAAACGTTCAAACTTCGTGCCACATCGGTCTGTGTTGTGCCGACCTGTGGCATGCCAGGGGCACGTAATCTTTCATCTCGAGTAAGTCTGCGCATGTCTCAAAGTTGTTAACAGAGTTCTAAAACAACCAAATTGATGTTTGCACATTCCAATTTCCTCTGTTAATGACGAGAAACGTCACATCCAACATCGTGCAAATTTCAGGTTCAACCCCCATGATCATCACAGATAGCACGTGCATATTGTTGGCATGTCAGTGCTGTGTTGTGGCGATAATTTTTTACGGAAAATGATTACTCTACGTTTTGGGTAAATAGCCGATCATACAAGTTAACACTTACTTTTCCGACTTGATATGTGCAAATGAAATATCCCCGTTTGGGCGCTTTTTTCTACGGGATAGCATATATCTAATATCAGTTTAAGGCATGACATGTGTTCCGACCATACAAGTTAACACTTACTTCATTCCGACTTGATATCGTCATGCGTGACGTCCGAATGAATACTTGCCTAACCATTTCGGTCAGCATCAGTAAAGTGAGCTGATCTGATGTTTACATGACAAATGCTTTTTTGAGGTTCTGGTTCCACTCCCTGCATGACGCTGTGATAAACCGCACATATGGCATTTGGGTTTTTTCTTTTCACTATTCAGATCAAAATAAGCCAATACATTTGATTTTTTATCTTTCTCCATGTCCATGTCAGATGGGTTAACGAATTCATGGTACACAGAACTCAGTATGTCAGTGCCAGTGGCTATCAAGGTCTGGAGCTCCACAGGGCTGTGTTCTTCCACCCTTACTCTTCATTTTGTATATCAATGACTGTTACTTGTCATTAAATGACGTGTTTACTGTGAATGACGCCGCTGTTTCTGGCCAAACTTCTGATTCTGAACATAATTATCGTCAAGGCATTGAAAAAGTTCTATCTTGGTGTAAAGACAGTTTTCATTTCCTGAATGCAAAGTAAACTAAGGAAATGGTGGTTGATTTTAGGAACTAAAGGAGGCACCTCCACACTCCCTTATATATTTGATAATGCAGAAATTGAAAGAGTGGACCATTACAAATATATCGACGTCATTTTAGATTGAAAACAAACTTTCCAAAATAGTTAATACGGCCAGCAAAATTGCTGGAGTGTCTTTCGAGTATATTCCCTCTATCTGTTAGCCAAGGTTGTCAAAAAGGCAACTAAAATTAGAATTGATAGATTTGGTAGTTCACATATATCATCTCACCATATTGAACTGCTTCCTGGACGCCGCTTTCAATTACCTTTCCTCGAAACAAACAGAGCTCAACAGTCCTTCATACCATCCAGTATTCGTGAATGCAACAAATATTTTGAATCATCATCATGTGATTACTACTAGAATTATTCAGACATTTTACCTATGTGGTTAACTGTATTGTATCATGTCATGTCATGTGTATAACCAGCAATCGTTTTGTGCATGTAAATAGTGTGTATATTTTTGTGTATATATTCATTTTGAGACCGTTTGGGCGCATATGAATTTTCTACGGGATGATAGAGTTATATGTTATCTTAATATCAGACGTTAACGGCCGCTCATGCTTAGCGCATGGCAGAGAAACTGTCTGCAAAATGGTTAGAGTTATCTTCCCTTATCGAGTCCTCGAGTCTAGCTAAACCCGACTCGTGCTCGAGTACTCGAGTACCCGTGGAAGCCCTATTGAGTATGCATGGACGCCATCCGAAGTGAATACTTGCCCGAACCATTTCGTAGCTCAGTGACAGAGGTGCACGTAAAACACGTTTAAAGTGAGCTCGATATTATTTTAACAACAGTTATGAAAACGGCCTCTGTTTTGACGCTCGGCTTTCCAGAACTAGAGCCATTGTTGACGATTGGTAAGCAAATGGTTATATTATGTTGGAACTGTCATGATTCTGGAGAGGTTGTTGAGTTAAGATAACGGTAAATGAATATTTTTACAGTGGAAATGAAATGCACACAGTACAAAAGTACATGACATGTGTTCTCACGGTTTGATATCAAATACAGAGGTTGATATAAGTGTCTTGACCAATAGTATATTACTCATCTTCTTGTATGTAAAACCTC